GGGGGGCCCCGCCCCACCCCCCCATTCCCTGAAAAGGAGGAAAACCTCAACTGCATCTCGTTGGCCGCCGCCGGCCTGCCCACCCTTGCCCAGTAGTGTCCCCGTGCCACTGCTCCGAGCCTCCCCTTCACTGATTTGGTGGGGTCAGCGTGGCCAGAACCCCCACCTCCTCCCTGAGGTCCAGATGTCTCTCCACCCAGGACGCTGGGCCTCCCTCGCCACCTCCCTGCTGGCAGAGCCCACAGACAGGCCAGGGAGAGGGCTCTGGGGTGGGGTGGGGTGTTGCAGTGAATTCTCTGCTCCTGCTTGGCCTGTTACCAAAGCAGCTGGCTCTGGGGGTGGGGCTGGAACCTGGTGCGGGCTTTGGGCGGCGAGGGACTTGGGCAGGAGCCACTCCTCACTCCCCAGTTCCAGCAGGCTGGGGCGGAGGGGGGCATGCAGCCCTCCCCCCACAGCACTGGGGACAGCCTGGTCCAAAGGCCCCCAGCCCAAGGCAGCCAGGAGCGCATCCTGTTTTTTTAGGGGGAGGGGAACCTGGGGCACAAAGGTGGGTGGAAGCCAGAGTGATCCAGGCTTGGGCCCTGAGCCTGGCCATCTCCCCATCCCGAGGGGTCGGCCTGCAAACTCTGCCCAACACACTGGCCTCTGCCCAAGCCGAGCTCCTCTGCCAAGGATGTGGCATCTGAGCGATGTGTGAAGGGGACAGAGGGAGGCCTCAGAGCCTGACCCGGTCAGTGGGCCAGGAGAGGAAAACTGTGCTTAGAGGCAGCCCAGGGGGAGGAGAGGAGATGAGGAAGGGTCTGCCTGGGGCCTTGGGCAACAAGGACCCCTCCCCAGCACCAAGCGCCCAGCATCTCCTCTTCCCTTCGCCCTCGCCCTCCCCTTCCCTCCCCACTCTCGAAGAGAGAACGCCAGTGCCGCTGCATCCAAACCAGTGGGCCTGCAAGAAGAGTGGCTGGTGCTGGGAGGGAGAGACTCCAGGAGGGGGAGGGGAGGAGGGCCTCTCGGAGATGGGGAGGGGTGGGACGGGAGGGGAGCAGCTCAGAGGGACCCCGCCCGCTCACCCTGGCAGGGGGAGCTCCACAGACCACTGTAATTTCAAGGCAAAAGGGTGTCTTCCAACCCTGCCCCTCTGCAGGCCTCAGGCGGGTCAATTTCCCGAAACTTTTTTCTGGGGAGGAAACGACCGCACCGACATCCGCCCTCAAAGCCCTTCAGCAGTAGCTGAAGCGCCCCTTCCCCACTGCAAACAGCCCCGTCCAGCATGGAGTCCTCAGCAAGGAATTGTGGTGTCTGTGAAAGCCCCCCCCATGGTGCCCTCCCGCCCCTCTCCCTGGTCCTCTAGCCACAACAGCCCAGAAGAAACCCTGACTGCAGCTTTGCAAGGGTGAAAGAAACAGAACACGCTCCCCCACCCCACACTCCCCCGACCTCGAGGCCCACCCCCATCCCCTTGCCCTGGGGTTTCGTGTGCTTGTTTGTTTTTGGCAGGCTGCCCCCTCCCAGGGCTGGGGACAGCTGACACCCCTCCCCAGGGCTGGGGCCCCAGCTGGTCAGGGAGGGGAATCGGGGCGGGGGCGGGGGGCTGGTGCTCCGTGCTCCAAAACGCTCTGGGCCTTGGAAATGCCAAACCAGAAGGAACTTAAGCCACTAGGAGCCCAAGACATAGGAGGAATCTGCTCCCCAAAAGGAAAACAGCGTCCGCTCCATCCCACCTCCCCTGGACCAGAAACTCTTTGTAGAAGGTGCAGGGGAAGGAGGAAGAGAAAGGAGAGAGAGAGAGAGAGAGAGAGAGAGAGAAAGAGAGAGAGAAAGAGAGAGAGAGAGACAGCTCACTCGCTGCCCCGGCTGGGGGCCAGGAAGGGAGTCCCTCCCTCCACCCGCCCCGGACGCTTACACACTTCTCCTGAAGGAGGCAAAACAAGTATGAGATGAAGGCCAGGTCCCCGCAAGGGCCAGGGACCAGCAAGAAGGGACAGGGAGAGACAGAGAGAGAGAGACAGAGAGGGAGGCGGAAAAAGAGAGAGGTGGAGAAAGAATCCTGCTGGGGCTCAGAGAGGAGCTTCCTGGGTATCTGGAGGGTGGAGAGGCCGGGGCTGCGCCAGGGCTGACCCCACAGGAGGACAACCCGGGGGAGAGCCACTGGACCGGGGGCCGGGGAGAGAAGAAGGGGCCGGGGAGGGAGGTCACATAAGTATGGCACAGGTAGAACAAAGTGTGAGTTAGGGGTTAGCATTGGTAACAGTGCGTTTACCTTTCTGCTCCACTTCTACTTTAAGCATCGGAAGAGAGAGAGAAAACAAATTGAAAAAAAAATGTGCAAGAAAAAAGAGAAAAAAAAAAGAGATTAAATTGCTTTCGTGTCTTTCCTGGCCACACGCCCCCTCTCCTTTCCTTCCTGGCTGCTTCCCAACCCCTTCTGCAGCGTCAGCTCGGCCCCCGCCCCCAAGTCCCTTCCTCAGGGGTGATATGGGGTGAGGGGTACTGGGGAGACAGAGGGACGGGCAGACACGGGCAGGAAAAGACAGAGAGAGACACGGGGGTGGGGGGACAGACAGGCGACAGAGCCCCCTCATCGTGGAGGGGGCGGGGGAGCCCCAGCGGGGAGGTGAGCTCTGGTTGGGGGGCACCAGGGAGCAGCGGGGGGAAGAACCACGCAGCCCCCACCCCACCCTGCCTGCTGCCCTCCTGAGCAAGCCTGGGGGAAGAGGTTCAGTGTCTCCCGGGGCCTGGGCCCCCCAGCCGAGAGAGCAGGCTGAACTCCTTCCCCTGAAGCTGGCCTCGCCCAAGTCCATCTGAGTTCCCCCAAGCCCTGAGAACCCAGAAGAAGCCAACACAGAGAGAGGGTGGCAGAGCCAGACACAGAACAACAGAGAGGCGGACAGGCAGATGCACCCAGGCCTCAGAGGGCGCTGGGTGGGGAGACAGAGGCGGAAAAGTGGTGGGGTGGGACACAGACAGCAGGTGGGGGCACAGACACGCCCCCACGCTCCCTGGGGCTCCCTGGGGCAAGCCCGAGGCTTGGCTTCTCTGCTCAGCCCCCCCTGGGGCCCAGGAGCCCGGAGCTCCACGCCTGCCCGAGCCAGGTGGGCGGGCGGCACCTGGGGGAGGAAGGGGCACGGTTAGGCTGTGCGGTGCTGTAAGGCAAATCCAGCGTTAGTCGGGCTGTCCGCTGCGGGGGTCCCCGAGATCCCAGGCCCCTCCCCACGGCACCCCCACCGCCCTGACCCGCCCTCACCAGCACTGGGGTCACCCCAGCCTCTGAAGCCCAGGGCCAGGTGGCTGCCCAGGCCGCTCGCTTCCAGGCTCTGCGCGCCCGGCCCTGCAGGAACCTCTGACCAGAGAGGCTCACTCTCCCGGGGCCCCTGAGGATCCCAGGGGGGAGCTCCCTTCCCGCGCCTCTCCCAGGCCTGGCACTCAGGAGGTGCTCAGTGAACGTCGGGGGCCTCCACGCCTCTCAGCTACCTCTCGGCCCCCGAAGCTTCAGCCCCTCCTCTGGAGGACTGGAAGCTAGCTCTGCCCCTGACGCACACCGTGTGCCTGTGTGTGTCGGTGTCCCCTCTCCCCAGGGACTCAAGGCTGGCTCTCCAGCCCTGGGCTGTCCTCTGTCCCGGACTCCTGGTCTCTGCGGGTTGTGCCCCCCGGACCACTTGGGCTCGGCTCCAGGTGGTCTCTCGGCTCCTCTCTGCCCCAAGCCTTCTGTTTTTCCTGCATCTTCACCTGAGTGTTGCCTCCTGTTCTTTATCTCACCTGCCTTGGGAGGAGCTGGGGTCATCATCCGTTGTGACTTACTTTGATCACCAGGGCAATCGTCATAATTATTAAGAAGCGTTACAAGTAGTTGTGACAGGCTGAGTGTGGTGGCTCACACCTGTAATCCCAGCACTTTGGGAGGCCGAGACAGGAGAATCGCTTGAGCCTACGAGTTTGAGACCACCCCGGGCAACATAGCGAGTCCTTGTCTCTACAAAAATAAGAGAAAATTAGCCAGGTGCGGTGGCACGTGCCTGTAGTCCCAGCTTATCGGGAGGCTGAGGCAGAAGGATGGCCTGAGCCCAGGAGGTCGAGGCTACGGTGAGCCATGATTGTGCTACTGCACTCCAGCCTGGCGGACAGAGTGAGGCCCTGACTCCAAACAAAAAAGCAAAAGCAAAAAGAGCCAAGTAGTAGTGACAAAGGCAATGATGAGCAAGTGTCCGGTGCTTATGGGGTGCCAGGTAGTCCTTACAGGTAGTCCTTCAAGAACCCTGTCTACAGATGGGGAAATGCGCTCAGTGAAGGGAAGCCACACGGCCATGGCCACACAGCTGGCAGACCCGCATGGGCACCTCTTCCTCTGCGTCTGTGCCTCCAGGTGCACACTGCTTCCCCTGGGTGGTCCCTGTTCCTTGCAGCATTCCAGGGAAGGCGTCTGGTCCCCAGCCCCCATCCCACGTGCTACCGGGCTCAGCTGCCATAAAGGGCATCCACACTCTGACTGAGCACGTCCTGAACCAGGCACAGGTCTGGACGCTGGGGGCTGCAGAAGAAGCCTCTGCGACAGGGTGTGCACCCTCAGCCCGCAGAACTCTGCCACTGGGAGCGAACTCTGTGGCCGGCCCCGGGCCAGGCACTTCTCACTCATGAGCTCACAGACTCACACTTCCCTCTGGAGCGGCCTTGAGAATGAGGCCATTGGCTTGAGGTTTCAGAGCCAGAAACCTCAAGAGCCCAGGCTAGCCTTGGGCCCAGGCCCGCCTGACCTTCCCCCTGTACTAAGCTTGCTGCCCCCCGCCCTCCTTCCCTGCTGCCTCAGCCGCGGGGGTGGGCAGTGTCCCCAGTGCTGTGGGGAGGCTTCAAGGAGCAGATGGGCATCCCCCTCGGGTGGCGGCTGAAGGCCTCGGGCGCTGAAAGGAAAGGGCGAGGAGTGAAAGAAGAGAATTACGGAAGCACACAAGGGGTCCTGTTTCCCCAGCGTCATCGAGTCACCTGCGAGGAGAAACCAAAGGTTGAAGGGAAGACTGGGGCTGGAGGGGAGAGGAGGGAGAGTTTCAGGGTCTCCTGTCCCCCCCACCCCTGCCCACCGCACTCAGACACCCTGGTGGCCCTGCCTCCTCCCCCCTATGCCTGGAGGTTGGTTACATGGAGCCTGGCAGGGGAGGAGGGGGGAGGGATGATGGGGAGGACGGAGCAGGAGGGCAGGGAGGAAGGGCGATGTTAAGGGCGGGATGCTGAGGAGGAGAGACCCTGTCTTTGTCTGCTCCCCTTGGCCAGGTGCAAGACAGCCAGGCTCCTGGCTCGCCAGACCACCTTCCTCAGGCTTCCTGGAGGCCACTGGCCATCCAACATGGCAGCACTTCCCCTGCAGACAGGAAGTGCCATCAAGGTCACGGGGACACCAACCAGGCGATGTGACTCTGGCGAGAAGGCCCCAGCCCTTCACACCGGACCTACCGCCACGCCTCAGAGGGTGGTCTGCCTTTCTATGGGTGCAGAGTCCAGCTTCTGTGACCAGGCAGGGGCGGGAACTGGGTGGGGTGTGGGGAGCGAGGGTGACGAGGGAAGAGGGGCAGTCGAGAGAGGCAGGGGTGCGAGGAGGGAGGCCGAGGGAGAGGAGAGGTGGACCTGTGCTAAGCAGAGCACGGTACGTGGCCTGGAAGTGCGCGGACGAGAGAGGGCCATGTGAAGGAGTGGGTGAGAGGCCGGGGGAAGGAGGGCTGGGGGAGGTGCCTGCGCTGAACTGGGCAGAGTCCGTGACCGGGTGTGTGGGAGAAGAGACCGTGTGAGGAAGCGGGCAGGCCCGGCTGTCCCTCTGCGCCCGGGCCCACGCGTGTGCGCACGAGTGTGATAGGTCAAGGTGTCTCCTCCTTGCTCACTCACAGGGGAAAGGGCCCGCGTCCGCACAAGGAACAAGATGACTCACTGTAGGGGACACAGTCGTACTGCACCTCCAGGTACTTGTAGGTCCCAGGACAGGGGTCCGGAAAGGCGTCAGAGCCGGCAACCACCACGCACTGGGTGCGGTTGTTGCACCTGCGGAGGAGAGACAGGGCACTGAACAGACCTAGATGCAGGGGCCTTCAGGGTCAGGAAAGCAAAAGGCACCTCCGGGTTGGGAGGGCACTGTGGAGCCGCACACCAAGCCCAGGCACCTTGGGTGGGTGTTGTTTTCTGTCTCCTGCCTGATCTTTCTTTCCCACCTGGGTTCTTCTATGTTCTGCGCCAGCACCTCATGCTCAGGGCTAGGCTAGGTGTCACCCATAAACAGTGCTTTCACGGCCACCCTTCGTCGCTTTCGTTCTGAGTGTCGCCAATACTGTCACATCCTTCATGGTTTTCTTTAAATTGACCTTAAAGCCCTTGCACCGTTCACTGAAAAGTAACACGTGTGAGGTGGTGCCTTTGCAAACATGCTGTCAGTGAAATGCTCAGTGTCCTGCCGTGTCCACTTCAGACCATCTCGAGGACACGATCCACCCTCTGGACAGTGCTGCTGTGAGGATTTGAGCCAGGGCAGCCAGGAGAGAGTCTTCATGGAAAAGCCATTCTCAGAGGAAACCCCCGTCAACATCCTGGGGGTCTGGCTAGCATGTAAAGGGGGACCCGTTTACCAACAGCAAAAACATATTTCTCATCTGCTGTCTATCTATTGTCACAGTCAGGGTCTAGGCCAGTCAGGACATGGGCATGTGGGAAGCAGTTTGAGAGGCTTCCCGACAGGAATAGGGCAGAGGAGGCTCCGCGTCTCCCCTTCAATCCTGCCCTCACCAAGAGTACTAAACACTGAGGCAATAACTTGAGAAAAGGCTAAGGATTTAGTGGAGGGGTGGTGGGGGAGACAGGGCACAGGAAGGTCTGTTGATATTATCCACCCCCATCTCCTTTAAAAAGAGACCACTTGACCAGGCACAGTGGCTCGCACCTATAATCCTAGCACTTTGGGAGGCCGAGGTGAGAGGATTGCCTGAGCCCATGGGTTCGAGACCAGCCTGGGCAACATGGTGAGACCTCGTCTCTACAATAAAGCAAAAAATTAGCTGGGCATGATGGTACAGCCTGTAGTTCCAGCTACTTGGAAGGCTGAGGCGGAAGGATCACCTGAGCCCAGGAGGTCAAGGCTGTGGTGTCCATGAACGTGCCACTGTACTCAAAAATAAAAAATAAAAAAGAACACGGCCTCAAAAGGGTTACCAGCTATCCATACATCGTAGACCCCCTTTTCCTACAGTTTCGCTTTACAAGGTTTCTATTATTTGCAGCCCACCACGGTTTGAAAACATTAATTGAAAATTCCAGAAATAAACAAGTCATAATTTTTTTAAAAAATATGGAACGCTTCATGAAATTGCGTGTTACCCTTGTGCAAGGGGCCAGGCTAATCTTCTCTGTGTTTTTCCAATTTTAGTACATGTACTGCCAAAGCAAGCACCAATTCATGTTTCCAACTGCATGCTGTTCTGAGTAGCATGGTGAAGTCTCATGTTACCCAGGTTGTGTCCACAGTGGATCTATTGCCTGTCCATTAGTCACTAGCAGTCATCTTGGTTATCAGATTGACTGTCACTGTGTCACAGCACTTATGACCAAGTAACCCTTATCTTACTTAACAATGCTTTAGTAATAACAGCCTTTTTTTTGAGTTGGGGTCTCACTCTGTCACCCAGTTTAGAGTGCACTCGCTACAGCCTTGACCTCCTGTGTTCAGGTAATCCTTCCACCTCAGCCTCCTGAGTAGCTGGGGTTACCAGTGATGTGCCACCACGCCCAGCTAATTTTTAAAATTTTTTTTGTAGAGATGAGGTCTCGCTATGTTGCCTACACTGATCTCCAACTCCTGGGCTCGAGCAATCCTCCCGCCTTGGCCTCCAAAGTGCTGGGGTTACAGGTGTGAGCCACCATGCCCAGCCACTAATAACAAATGAATTCGTGGCTGTTCCTGTTAATTGCTTATCTTTTTTTTTTCTTTTTGAGTTGGAGTCTCACTCTGTCGCCTAGACTGGAATGCAGTGGCCGCTCCCAGCCACTGCAGCTCGACCGGTGATCCTTCCGCCTCAGCCTTCCAAGTAGCTGGAACTACAGGTACGTGCAACCACGCCCAGTTAATTTTTTGACTTATTGTAGAGATGAGGTCTCGCCAACTTGCCCAGGCGGGTCTCGAACCCGCGGGCTCAGGCAATCCACTCACCTCAGCCTCCCAAAGGCGTGGGATTACAGGCTGAGCCACTGAGCCCGGCTAATTGATTATCTTATCTAATCTATGAATTAAGCTTTACCACAGGTCGGGATGTACAGGAAAAAACATGGCATATGTAAGGTTCAGTGCTATCTGTGGTTCAGGTGTTCACTGGGGGTCTTGGAATGTTGTCCCTGGCGGATAAGGGGGACTATTGTACCCCAAATAACTTAAAGCAGGTGTTTAAACAAGTCCCTGCTACATACATGTTCACAGCAACATTACACACAACCACCAAAAAGTGAAGACAACGAAATGTCCACCAACAAATGAACTGATAAACGAAATGTGTTTCACCCGTACCATTTAGCCGCAAAAAAGGGAGGAAGCCCCCCTCCATGCTATGACATGAACGCATCTTGAAAACATGGTGCTGAGTGAAAGAATCCAGACAAAGAAGGCCCCGTGTATATGACTCTGTTTATAAAAAATTGTGCAGGTAGGGGCAGGGGTGAGGGACACAACATCAGTAAGGGTTCCTGATCTCAAACCAGGACCAAAAGGAGGCCCAAACTTTATCTGTACGATGACCACTTGTATACCCAATCCTGAATTGTACTACACATCCTTCAGACAAAAAAAATTAAATAAATAAAATAGGAGAAAGAAAGACAGACACAAAGAAAGAAAGGTCCAGAACAGGCAAATCCAGAGATAGAAAGTGGGCCAATGGTTACCTGGGGGAAGGGGGAAGTGAGAAAGGGCCTGCTAATGGGGATGGGGGTTTCTTGTGGGGTGAGGAGTGTTCCGGAAGTAGGCAGAGGGGATGGCTGCACGACGTTGTGAATGTGCGGAATACCTCTGAACTGTTCACTCTAACACGCATAATTTGAGCCTAACAAATATCCGCCTAGATAATATAGCGAGACTTTATCTCTCCCCCCCAAAAAAAGTTAGCCAGGCATGGTGATGCACATCTGCAGTCCCAGCTACCCAGGAAGCTAAGGCAAGAGGATGCCCTGAGCCCAGGAGGTTGAGGCTGTGGCGAGCTGGGATTGTACCTCTGCACTCCCGCCTGGGTGAAGAGACCCCGACTCAAATAAACAAATACTGTCTTGCGCGTTTAAAATAAATTGATAAATCAGCCGGGATCGGTGGCTCAGCCCGTAATCCCGTGCCTTGGGAGGCCGAGGTGAGTGGATTGCCTGAGCCAGCGGGTTCGAGACCTGCCTGGGCAACTTGGTTAGATCTCATCTCTACAATAATTTAAAAAATGAGCCGGGCGTGGTAGCGCGCGCCTGTAGTTCCAGCTACTTGGAAGGCTGAGGCGGAAGGATCGCCGGAGCCCAGCGGGTCGAGGCTGCGGTGGTCTGGGCCACAGAATGAGACTCCAACTCAAAAAAAATAAAAATAAAAAATAAAATAAGTAGATAAATAAAATGGTCAATTTTATGGCGCTTCAGCAAAAAGAAGAAAAAAAATCCACCGGCCCCCAGCTGGAGACCCCAATCTCCCCTGCAGGCGGGGGCGGGGTTGACGGCACGTGACCCGGCTCTGGCCAATGAGGCGAGAGTGGGCGCGGCGCGCGCCTTTAAGGGCTGGGCTCCGGCGGAAGCGCCAAGACCGAGGGAAGCCAGGGCTGCGGCGGAGGGTCTCGTCCGTCTGTCGGGTCGATGTATTTACTCCGGGGTGTCTCTGTCAGGCCAGCTTCGCAGTGCCCTTAACTAATACAAAGAGCCCGCAGGTCTTGACGGTGGAGCAGCAGGGGCTGGGGGCTCAGGGGAAGGGAAGTCGGGCTGAGGCACCCTACTGCTTGCTCAGCGTCCCCCCAGGGCTTCCCCGGCACGGAGCCGGCCGTGCTGCAGGGCCGAGACCCCGAGAATAACTCAGCGGGGTGCCGGAGGGGCAGGAGGAAGGGGATTCTCCAGGAGGGGCACAGCCTAAGCGAAGGCCAGAGGCGAGACTGGGAGTGCCCAGCAGGGGTGCCAGGAACGGGAAGGGGGGAGGGGAGAGGCGGGATTTGGGAGCCGATCAGGGAGCTCTGGCCCGGCCCGCTGTCTCAGCCCCCTGGACGCTCGCTCTGTTGCCGGAACCTCTCCCGAGGCCCTCAGCGGCCACTTCTTCCAGGGACGATCTGAGCTGGCCCCAGCCCTCCTTCCCTTTTGCCGTTCTAGGCTCTAGGAGCTGGAGTGACCCCTGCACTCTCAGAAATGCAAACATTCAGTAAGTGCCCGCCGTGTACCTGGCCGTGGGCACAGCAGTGATGGACAAAACTCCCCGACCCTGGGGGAGCTGACAGCCCAGTGAGGGAAGACATACGAAACACAATAAAAAAGCAGGATATCAGATGGAAATCATGTGGAAGGCAGGGCTAGGAGAGAAAGCACACAGGAAGGGGGTTAGGAACCAGGGGGCTGCAGGTGTAGAGGGTGGTCAGCAGGGCCTCGCTGAGCGGACGGTTAGGTAGAGAAAGCTGAAAGTAAGGTGAGGGAAGAGCCAGTACAGAGGCCTAGAGGGAACCTCGAGGAGGACAAGGCCTGATGTGTGTCAGAGCAGACGGGTGTGGCTGCAGCTGAGAGGGATAGTGTGGAAGAGGTCAGGGCTGGCAGTCAGGGCAGGCCATGCAGGGCCTTGTGGGCAGCAGGGAGAACTTTGGCCTTGGCCCCAAGGGAGGTGGGAGCCATGGAGGGTTCTGAGCAGAGGAGGGATGGGACCTGACTCAGGTGTTCCCAGCACCCACCAGATGCTAGGAGGAGAATAAACTACAACAGGCCAGAAGAGCCGTGGGTAAGGGGTGGGGGTGGAGGGGGAATGGAGGGGAGAGTCCGGGTGTCACTGGAAGTCCTGCTGGATCTAGTGGTCTGGCCGTGGCTGTGACAAGTTTCTGTAATGTGTTGCACAGGTGATGCCTCAGCCAGGGACACCTCACATACTCACGGTCACACACCCAAAGAACAGTCAGATGCACATGAGCATGTTCACACCCACACAGCTAGACACACAAGCCACACACATTCACTCAAACACACATAATCACATACCCAGAAACACATCCACCCACCCATGGATACACAAACACACAGACACTCAAACATACATTCCCAAACACAAGCCACACACATTCACACACAACACACAGTCACATACTCAAACATACACACATACAAGGGGTGACCCAAAAAACCCAGTTTATTTATAAAAGATTGTGTATTTATTTCTTTTTTTTTTGAGTTGGAGTCTCACTCTGTCACCCAGACTGGAGTGCAGTGGCCGCTCCCGGCCACCGCAGCCTCGACCTGCTGGGCTCTGGTGATTCTTCCGCCTCAGCCTTCCGAGTAGCTGGAACTACAGGTGCGCGCTATCACACCTGGCTAATTTTTTTAGTTTATTGTAGAGATGAAGTCTCGCTGCCCAGGCGGGTCTCGAACCCGCGGGAATCAGGCAATCCACTCACCTCAGCCTCCCAAAGGCGCGGGATTACAGGCTGAGCCACCGAGCCCGGCTAAAAAAAAAAATTGTGTATTTATTTTTACATGTTTAAACTTCAGTCACCTTCCAAGTACTCTCCACTTGATTCAATATACTTATTGAGTTACTTTTTCTTTTTGAGAAGGAGTCTCACTCTGTCACCCAGGCTGGAGTACAATGGCACACTCATGGTCACCACAGCCTTGACCTACTGGGCTCAGGTGATCCTTCTACCTCAGCCTTCCAAGTAGCTAGAACCACAGGCATGTGCCACCATGCCCAGCTGACTTTTTAAGCTTATTGTAGAGATGAGATCTCACCATATTGCTCAAGCTGGTCTCGAACCCCTGAGCTCAGGTAACCCTTTTGCCTCTGCCTCCCAAAGTGCTGGGATTACAGGTATGAGCCACTGTGCCCGGCTGAGACACTTTTTCCACTGCTCAAAACAGTTTTAAACTTGTCTGTTTTGATGCCTTTTAGTGCTTCTGTTTTTTTGTTTCACCTCTTCCACACTGGCAAAACTTGTCTTTTTGTGTGTGTGCATTGGAGTCCCATTCCATCGCCCAGGCTGGAGTGCAGTGGCACGGTCTCAGCCACCGCAGCCTCGACCTGCTGGGCTCCGGCGATCCTTCCACCTCAGCCTTCCAAGTAGCCGGAACTATAGGCATGTGCTACCACACCCGGCTAATTTTTTGATTTACTGTAGAGACGAGGTCTCACCACGTTGCCCAGGCTGGTCTCAAACCCCTGGGCTCAGGCAATCCTCTCACCTCGGCCTCCCAAAGGGCTGGGATGACAGGCTTGAGCTACCACACCCAGCCCCGAAATGTTTCCCTTTGAGGAAATTTTTCAACCAGGGAAACAAAACAAAGTCATTCGGGATGAGATCGGGTCTGACTAGAGAGGGCAGGCAGGGCACAAGAGGGTCATGTCATTTTTGGTCAAAAACCGCTGAAACTCCGTGCTGTGTGGGCAGGTAGACTCATAAATCGCCCACCGTGAAATGGGCAAATATATGACGGGTTCCGAAAACAGTTACTTAGCGAGGAAAGTCTGTACTACAAGGAGTCTGGCCTCCCAAAGATAATTCTGGGTTTTTTCTGGTTTCCCCCCCGCCTGTACACTCCAACAGTCACTCACAGATACATATGCACACACAAAAACACACCCTGGCACACAGTCTCACCCACCCCAGCACTCACACCCTCAGCACACACTCCCGTCACCGTGGTCAGTGCTCTCCTCCCGGGGGAAGCCTCACGCCTCCTCAAGTCAGGATAAAGGGTCTCCCTCTGCTCTCCCCACACCTTCACTTGTCCTGCCATTGCTTCCATTTTGCAAGCTCTAACCTGCCCTGGCTGATCTTAGCATGGAAGCTTCTGGACGCAAGAGGTGGTGAGAGGAGGAACTGGCCAGTGTGAAGTGTAGGGACACAAGGCTGGTGGTGGGGAGACAGACTGAGCCTTATCCTCTGTCTGCACAGGGCCCGGCACCTGGTAGGTGCTCAGGAAACATGCTGGATGCATAAAAGCAGGACTCAGGGTGAACGGGGCATGCCAGTCAGGGGCCGGCACTTCCAGGCAGGCACTTGATTCAGAAAGCCCTGGGGGCCCGCTCACCTCTGTGACATGATCTTGAAGGCATCCGGCAGGTAGCACTGCACATTCTCCATCTGGAAAGGGTCAGCATCGCAGATCTTGTCATCCGTGCGCCCGTAGTTGGCGTTCTCCACCATGATGACGTCACTGCCCGGGCACCGCAGCTCAATGGGGTAGCCTTCGCATGCCAGCTCCCGGCGCATCAGCCCAAACGGGAGCCCGGCCCGGCTCAGGCCTGCGGGGAGGGCAGGGGGGGGGGGTCAGGCTGAGGGGGCAAGTCCCCACCAGCAGCTGAGGGGGCACCTCCATTTTGGCTGTGCCCAGAAGCTGGCCATGTGAGCCTCGGTCTATTCAGCTGTGAGGTGGGCCTACCAAGTGCACCCACCTAGGTGGTGAGGACATTAACCTCGCCCCAGAAGAGCCTGGCCTTTGCCCTCGGCTCTTGGAAGGCGACATCTAAGCCCTTGGCACATCCTGCTTGATAAAGAGTTTCTGTTTTTCCTGGGGGCTTTGGTCCACACCAGAGAGTCTACGCCTTCTGTTTTGGCCCGAGCTGTGTACCCTTGCAAAGTCATTGCCAAAACCCTAACCCTCCATACCGCAGAATGGGACCTCAACAGAGGCCACCAAATTGAAACGTAACCATTAGGATGGGCCCCCATCCAACCTGACTGGGGTCCTTATACACAGTGGAAACTTGGACACAGAGGGACAGAGGGAGAGGATGTGAAGACATGGGAAGATGGCCATCACCAAGCCAAAGTGCAAGGTCTCAGGAGCCGACCCGAGACACCCTGACCTCAAGCTTCCAGCCTCCAGAACCGCTGTCCCCTTTCAAGGAACTCAGTGGTAGCCCAACTCTGGATGGAGGCTTGGGTCAGGAGATACCAGCTGACCTGGGGGGGCTGGAGACAGCTCCAGGAAAGACCCCGGGTGTCCCACTCGGGGAGCTTCCCGGCCAGCATTATGGCACACCATATGCATGGTGCATGTATGGGCGGGAGGGTTAATGTCATCCACAAGCCACTGGGGGACAACTGGAAGCTCCATGCCTGGAACCTTCCTCAACTCCCACGCACTCTTGGCCGATTTTAATCTGTATCCTTTCACTGTAATAAGCTGTAACTCAGTTTAACATATTCCAGCGAGTTCAGAGTCCTTCCAGCGAGTTATAGAAACAGAGGGTATAGCCGGGTTCGGTGGCTCAGCCTATAATCCCACGCCTTTGGGAGGCTGAGGTGAGTGGATTGCCTTAGCCCGCAGGTTCGAGACCTGCCTGG